TTTACTAATATAAACAACGTACACAGCTAAAAATAAGCAACCCCCAGTGATGTGGTCAATTGTTTCGCGAGATGTGTTGCATGCTCGGCATGTGTCTGATGAAATTGTGGGATTTTTAATAATATATTTTTCATAGTTTTTTGTTTTTATTATTTTGTCCTGAATCGCTATCATGAACCCCTCAGTTTCTGAGAATATGTTTCCTTTTTTAACCACATATTAGAAGCTTCTGTATCTACATATTCCTGCTGCACTCTTGATTTCCATATTTCAATTTTTAATTTTTCTTTCATAATTTTGTTCTCAGGATTAAAATCTACATCATTAAGGTTTAGTGATGTACCAGAGGTTGAAATGACACAGATTGAATTGTATTATTATTATTATTATTAAGCTTTAGCAAAACAAAATTATATTTTTAAATTTTCAAAATTTATATTTTCTTGCCTAGAGTAACTTATCTTTTCGAATCCAATTTGTTATACCTCTTTCATTGTCCTAACAAAAGACCGTCTATTACTTCCTAAAATTTTCTTCAGTCAGATCCTTCCACCCAGTTCCTCATTCACCAAATCTTAGCATTCCTCCCAAGCTCTGTTATTTGCACATCCCCCTAACACATAGTTCAGACATTCTACCTCCTTGTCACATATCCTACTCTACACCGTCTGTTCTCTTCCTTTTTTCAATATTTAAACCCCTGTATCCATTCATCTTTATCCTAAAGTTTGCAAACGCGTTTATTCCCCCCTCCCCTTTTAAAACAAGGGCGTGTTGAAAACGCAGTAAATAACTACAGACCAGAGTGGTAACAAGGAAAAAGATATAGATCTAATTTATTGCGGACTTTGCCAATTTTGAATGTTCCAACTATACTGTGTTAGCATTTGCTTATGTAATCCAAGTAAACCACAGAAAATCTTGGACCCCAGACAGACTCGCCCGGAATTGAACCGGGTCGGTGTTCTCCCGAATGCTAAGCGATGGTCTAAACATCTAAGTCATGCCGCTCGTTTAATTTGATCAGTTTATCTTAATAAGTTGTGATATTTTGAAAATTGAAAAAATAATGGTTTAGGTATATAACGTCCTTTTTGGGAAGTTCGAAAGTGGTACTAAAATTTTCATAAATTTGTTAATATACAAGGTAGGATTAAAATGTATTTTTTTAAATAACAAACTAAGGGGTGTATCAAATTAGAAAATTCACACTGTTCCTTCAAGGTGTTTCAGGTGCGAATAAATTTCAGTATCCTTTAAAACAAGCCAAAAGTCAAAATCCAAATGGATTTGCAAATCTATGATATAAAAGAAACAAAACGTGGAAGAAGATTCAGAACTTACAATTAAAATTCGGCAGTTTTAAAATTCATAAAAGCATAAATTGCTAATAAGTACAAGTCTACCTACTAATTATATACGTGAAAAAAAATGTTTAAATCTTTGCAATGTGATAATTCATGAAAAGTAAATCTATTAACAGACTAAGACGACGAGAAGCAAAAATTGTACAAACGTTTTGTGCAAATTTACTTTTGGTGTTTATTCATGCGTGTTACTAACTATTGTAAATAGAGTAAGTAGGTACAATATGTATGGTACAACTACTAAATGTCGCGCGTTTAAAATTAAATAAATATAAATAAACGGAAGTAGAAACAAAGATTTAAATAGTAGAAAAACCAAGCACGGTACATATAATAGGATATTCTTTAACAATTTCGACCTCGCTAAAAAATTCTCTGTTATATTTCTACATACCTACTATATGTATGGATAAATATGAGTATAAGTAAATCCGAATTTCTAGGCGTCATCACTTGTAGTACGAAAAAATAGGTATCGTAGACATTATTACGAGGGTGGATTGATAAGTTTCCGGCCTGACCAAGAAAAACAAGGTTTTTAAAAATTTTTTTTTTTTATTTCTCAACATAATCTCCTCCAAGGCTGATACATTTCTCATAGCGGTGTTCCAGTCTATTAATGCCATCTCTATAGACTGATTCGTCAAGCTCCTNAACGAAGTTAGTCGCGATTTCGATCTATTTGATTTCATCATTACCCATAAGCAGTCTGGTTAACTTACCAATCTAACCGAAGATGCTCTATATGAACAAGTTTATACAATATCGAATTACAGCACAACGTCGTCACCTATTGATATTTGTAGCTAACTACTCTAGTACCAAACTACTAACTGTTGAAGATATCAACCTTAGAAGTCGGTAAAATGTCTAGAAAATGTCTGGAGGGAATCCTGAAAGCGTACGGGAGAATTAGATACTTCAAACAAATATCAATAGATGACGACAAAATGTCATAACTCGATAAAAACTATAACCTAGGCATTTGTAATAAAATAAAACTAGTCGAGTACGTGTAGGTACACTGAGGGTTCTATAGTAAACCCTGAAGATGTATACCAAGTTAGATACTGTAATAGCAATGGTCGGAATGTACTTTTCCCAATTTTGTGTTTATAATGGTTCAAATTTTTAAATATTTGTGAAGATAGACACTTTTTTTTATAAAAGTTAAACTGTAATTATTTTAATGTGAAAGGATTGAGTAATGTTGTACATAATCTGCAACTTAATTCTTATATAAAGCCGACTTGGACTTGGTTACACAATACTTCTAGAGACCGTGGTTTTGTTGGCCCCTCTCGTAAAATATTTTGCCTTCCTAGATACAGGAGTAGAATCAATAGTTGGGACATTCAAAATTGCCATAGTCCACAACAAAACTGTCGTATTTACTTTCTTCCTACGACTTACTAACTAGACAAGAGCGGTTGCTAACAGAACGCATACTTTTACTGACGACAGACGTTGTAGAGAATATCGTAAACATAAAAAGAGATGTCAGGTAGGAATTGCAGCAAACACTAATAAAAAAGAAGGAATAACATTATACCAATTAATGTGTAACACTGAGATGCAGTCAAGAAGAATTTAAGAATGTTATCAGCATAGGGTTTTAGAAATAGTTCAACATCCTCTGGAGTTTAGGAAACCAAAGACGTTTGTTTAAAAATTTAATTCCAGTTAGGCAGTTATAAAGCCAATCCTGATGATTTGCGTACCTAAGCAGCTTCTAACGCTGCACCGCTTATTATTATTCGGTCACTTTGTCTGTACTACTCATGAAGCAGATCCTAAGTTATACTTCGTTTAGTTTCTGTAGCGATGTGACCTTTAGTTTGATCAGCGCAAAGTAGAAAAGAACAGCACTAAGCGAGAAAAGAACGGAGACAACTCTCGGCCAAACTCTTAACCGGTGAGGAGCGTATAATCCGTACAGTACTGCACGGAAAAATTGACCATTTCATCCACTACAATTGCATTGCTCAAATGTGCTGTTATTGGTACTATTTACTACTGAAAATATCAACGGGATGTTTATTTATATTTGAAGACATACTAAAGGCTTTAACGTTTGTTTTCGACTCGCACTACTATTCATGATTGAACAAAACTTTTGGCAGGTACTGTGTTGAAAAGTATGTTTAATGAACAAGAGTCGAGAGTATAGTGAGCTTTTTTCTCCCTACCTACGATTTTGCCAGCACTCATCCAAGACATTGGAAGGGGCACATCGCTAGAGAATGTAAATGAAGTATATTAATTCATTTGTTATAGATTAAGTAATTGGTTTTTACCAAAAACGTTTATTATGAATTCGTTAAGTAAATGAGTGTTCTTCTTGGAAGTAATATGATCGAGCGGTATAACCTAGAAGTTTGCTTAGGATTCGGGAAGACACCCGTTCGATTACAGGTCCAAGGGCTGATCCAGGGGGGTCATTGGCTTCATGACCACCCCCCTGGTAATTATAAACGAATGTCGGAAGGTGAAGTGGCAGCGGAATCACAGTCGATTTCTAATTGTATAGAAAACTGTGATGCTGAAATGTACCCAAATGTAGAAGATTTTTATGCATTCTTCCTACACAACCAGTTAATGCAGCGACGGCATAAAGGTCCTTTTAGAAAGCTCAAAATTTTACTTAGAGCTTCAGAAGAGCGTTTTACTGGACTGGCACTTCTCCTCCAATTGGAGAAAGTGATAACTCGTTTTATGAGAAGACAAAAAAAAAAATTGATTCTATTTAATTAAAATTATTTTGTATTGTAATCGAATTGGAGTCTGTTCTGAACTAGACTTTAACCATACGACCCCCCCCCCCCCGACTTGAAAGCTGGATACACCTTTGTACAAGTCTATCTGTCCTGGTCAACTGGTCAAATGCTCGGTCAATAATATTCCATAGATAATCTTTCACTTTGTTTTTTCTTTATTTCGCCCGTCTCATCATTCTCACCTCAACTATCACAACGATTCCAACGATTCCTAAAAGAGAAACATCCTCTCTACTCTCCAGTGTGTTCCGGAGGATCTGCCGTCCACCAGCGTTATTAGAAGGGGGGGGGTATTGAAATACCCAAAACTTTTTTGCAGTAGGTAATATTTATTATTACTTGAACCAGTCAAACCAAAACCAAACAGTTGCAATATGCATTTCAAATAGAGCCGTAGATATTCAGAATACCATGATACAGCTACTATTACTTTAAATCTATAAATTCATTTGAAAATTAATTAGCTCATAGCTTTTTTCATGTTTATAATAGTACAATAACTGATAGAATTGTTCACTAATTATAAACTTTCAACTATCTACTTATAAAACATCCAAGAGCTGTTTAAGTCGATTTCGTTTTGTTTCATGAAATTTAAGTTTCTTTTCTTTGCATTTGATTCAGCAGTAGCTGTATTTGCGGTTTCAATTTACATTTTTGTGAATAATTACCTGCCTACATGTTATTGTTTAACTTTCTATCATAATAATTTTGCGGATTATAGAAATAATGTAAGTGCTTAAATTTATATAACCAATAGCTTATACGATACCAGATTAAGTTTAGGAATAGATAGTTTTAAACGATTAAAAAGGGTGAGGACCAAATAACCTAACCTAACCTAACCTGGTTGATTCATCGTAGCTCTATTAGGGGATTCCATACTTATCCCGTGACTCTCCAGGTTAGACTGCCCTACTGAAAACCTATAGATGGAACCTCTAAATTATCCCAGTCAGGCCCTGAATTGACTGCCAAATTGTAAACATATATGGAAGCCCCAATTTGTCTCAATTTGAACCCAACAATATTATTTTATTGTAGATAACCCTTTTAGCAACTCCCCACTGACCCCAATATACGTCTCCGATACGATCATTTAGTTTATGTTTTCTTTTTTTGGGAATGGACATCTTCTTACTTATTATTATACTTCCCTTTGGGTTCAACGTTGAAAAAGAATTAAAATAGTTAACCTGTGACAGACGACTAAAAATTTATCTACTTATAATAACTGATTACTAAGTTTGATTGAATGTACCAGTTAAAATCTGCATTAAACTTTTATCCAAATGTTTATATGTCTGCTTTGGAAATGACAAAGGACGGAATACTAGATCATTCTTATTTCTCAATTATTCATTAACTATTTTTGTTTGCTGTAGTTTTTGCATATCCTTTTATTAAAAAAAGTCTGATTATAACTAAAGACCGTAATCAAATATTTTGAATAGATGTTTTTTTACGACATTACGAAAAGAAAGTTGATGACACTTTTCACTCCATGAGATACGATCCAAAAATTATTTTCCCAAAAAACTCGTTACTGTATCATGCTATCATAGCACAACCTCCACAAATAATGAATCAATAGAGTTTTCACCTTTGAAAACGTTTCAGTTTAAAATATCCGTGCAGCTTGTATCTAAATATATGATGCAAATATATGATGTATATATGTATATGTACATATACAGGTATGAGAAAACATTTAGCGAACATTGATGCATACTCTTCTGTTTATGTCACACAAGCGAAAATGCATAATTTGCTGAACGTATGGAACAAGACATCTTTAGAAGAATCTTTATAGGGTTTTCAATACCTTAAAGTAAATCAATTTTTGAATTAATTCTTACCACTCTTTAAGGTTATCTGCAGCGGTAAAAATTAATTCAAAAGTTAATTCACTTTGATGTGTGGAATAGATTTTGTCTATCATCTGAAGAAATCTCCTGCTCCTCTGTATTAAATTAACCAGACTCTCAAAATCTTTTGAAAAGAGTTCCCCAGAAGCTTTAAATTGTACTTATTGCACTTAATATATTACTATATTATTTATATGAAAAGATTACTAAAGATATTTGTATGAATATTCCTAAAAGGATGACGCCGCAGCTTTATAATTGCAGGATAGGATATCCATACGATCTGGTCTCAATTTTCCACTAATGCAATATATGTACTCCACAAGAGTGAATTAATTACCAACCTTTTTTAAATTAGCGTCCCATCCAGTTAAGTCCATCTCTCATGACTTCGGTCATCAAAAGGCAAGTTCATACAATAAACCATTCTCTCCAAAAGTCTTTCTTTATCAGCACTTCTCACTTAACTTCAATAAAACAAAACTTTTTTAAATCGATTATTTATTACTACACTCCCGAACCAAACGCAAACACGCAAGCCGACCGAAAGTTAGCACAAAACTGTTCTTCTTCATCAATAACAAGCCTCATAAAAACATCTCCACTGGATTGCCGTGTGTAAACATCGTTATCGTTACAATCCTGAGACGAGTTAAAGAATGTGTATTAAAAAGTCAATTCAAGATTTAATCTTCTGCCTGCTAAATGGGTACTTTTAGTATTTGGAACGCAATAACAACTTGGTTTTACGTATAATAGAAAATAGGCTGCTTGAGGACATATTAAAGGGCGAAGATAAAACACTCATCAAAATAAAAACAATCTTAAATATTTCATATTTTGTAATTCATCAATAGCTGCAAAATCATATTTTGTACAGATCCAGCACATAATTAGACTATTAGTGGAACTCTTAATTTTCAAAAAGAGATACGTTGATTTAAATTCTGTAGGTTTTTTTAATAGAGCTTTTGATGTTAACCTAAAGGTGTATGTTTGGAGCACGGCGTTGTACGGGTGCGAAACATGGACAGTGGGGGCAGCGGAAAAGAAAAGGTTAGAGGCCTTCGAAATGTGGTGCTATAGGCGGATGATGAGGATAAAGTGGGTAGAAAAGGTTAGAAATGAAGAGGTATTAGAAAGTATAGGAGAACAGAGGACTCTATGGAAGTCAATAAAAAATAGGCGAGATAGGTTGGTAGGACACCTTCTCAGGCATGAAGGTCTAGTCAGAGACATATTAGAGGCAGAAACAGGAGTTAGGAGGGGTAGAGGTAGACCTAGATTAGATTACTATTCGCAGATAGTTAACGATGTGGGTTGTTCAAGTTTTAGGGAAATGCGAAGTTTAGCTCAGGATAGGAAAAAGTGGAGGTACGTGTCCAACCAGTCTTAGGATTGACGACCCTATGATGATGATGATGTTAACATTATTCAAATAGTCCATATCCATCCTGAAGGCTTTTGGGATTCGACGTGATCCAGTGGATTTAACCCGATCCTCTGGAGTTAAATCCAGTGGACCTCGACAAATCCCAAATTCCTCCAGAACGAATGAGAACTTTTGATGTTGCCAATGTTACCATCTTTTTTCGTTTTGTTTTTGCCAAAGGGGGAGAGATCTCATTTAAATATTGTCAGGTCCATTATTTCATTTTATTGATTTGCATGTTACCTGGTATTTATTTATTTATTTATTTATTTGTATATTTAACCAGCAAATACAAAATACATAGACTAATACCTTTATGACATTAAATTTAATGCTCAAAATCAGATATAATAGAACGAAGAGAGCAGTTGGTCCATCTGTTGGACAAATGCTGCCAACTACTAAATATCTACTTTCGGAGATGTGGAAACTGCCTAGTATTACAGAACGCGAATGGGAACCAAATATATTTGAAATTGTATTATTCACATACATGGTGGTTCCAAGAAATTTCTTACCATGATTTACATTTTATTATTTTTATCTAAAAGTATCTAATTCAGTAATTATTTAGAAGTGGAGCTGCAGACAAAACATGCTCAAAAAAAAATCGACCCTGAATACCACTTTAAAGTATAGAAATAGTAAATTTATGATGGGGGGAAGACATTTCTAATAATTCCTTTTCTCCGTGATCGTAGCTTAATAGTACGGTATTGGAAAAGACCCTACTATATACTTCAAATCCTTTCAGAAGGTGCATACCCGACTTTCATAAATATAAAGCAGAGAAGGGGGAACAGTTACCAATCCTAGCCTAGCCCAATATGCATTAGTGAATTAATTTTTTGAATTAACTTTACCCACTAGAGATAACCTTAAATTAATGAAGAAACATTTTACAGTAACAGTAATTTGATATTATCTGCAGTGGGTAAAGGTAATTCCAAAAATGCATTTACATTGTATTTAACCTTATATTTCTCATAACCTAACCACCTAGGTTAGCTTAAGGGAGGGAACAGTGCCCCTCCCCCACTCCCCCTTAAAAATGACGATACATTTACTATTCTTATGTATTCACATGGTCTCCGGGCAATGGAAAATTTTTTAAAGCAAGTTTTTGTCCCACTTCTAAATTAATAAATAATCGCAGTGATTCAAACGGAACTCCAAATAAGCAAATAACTTCTTTCCACAGTTCTTACAAAAACCAACATCCTACTTACTGTTTGCAGGAAAAAATATTTTTTAAACTGTTTCAGATTTAACGAATGGTCAATTCGGATACAGCAAAGACGAGCAGGCAAGATGGCAGGAACAACACAGATCGTGTGGAGGTGATTTACAATCTCCAATTAAAATCGATAGTTTAAAGGCAATTCCCATAAGGATGCCTGCATTAGAAATGATACGGTATCATGATCTATTACCAGGTCCCTTACTGCTACATAATAACGGTCATTCAGGTAGGAAAATATCATTTAATGCATGTGACAACATTGAAGATATTTATGTAACACTTTGCTGTTAGTAGAATGATGATTCGGGCTATTAGTCCAAATGGAATTAGACCACGGCTCTATAGCCCGAATCTTCATTCTACTATGGATTCCGGCCGTGAAACCCTTTGTTCTCATATAGTTTGCTATTATCCACATCTCGTTATTTCCTTCAATACTACGTCAATTTTGCTCTCGATATCTCGTGCAATATTTGTTGAATTCAGACAATACAACACAAAGGATATTTTTGCAGTGTCTCTTAGTATTGCCCATTCTCCACCTAATCAACCCGATGTCGGATTTATTCCTTACGTATTTGGCGCTCGATTGACAAATGAGTACGAATTAGAAGGTCTTCATTTCCATTGGGGTGATAAGAATAATTTAGGATCCGAACATACCTTTAATGACGTCAGATTTCCTATGGAAATGCATATGGTGCATAGAAATAGAAGATATCCAACTGTGGAAGAAGCAATGAACCATACCGATGGACTAGCAGTTCTTGCCTTCTTTTTTCAGGTAAGCATAATCCGGAAACTTAAAGAAACGTAAAAGAGAAGTTGCAAATAAAGGTTTCGTTTTTGAACAGAAGTTGTGGTAACAAATTATTCCTTGTATTAAATTCCTTGCTCTGTAGAACAAAACAACCAGTGTGGATTTTAGTTCGTAAACCCTCAATAACAGCGAAGTTCTTTACTACAGTTGAGGCCTTGCTGGAATACCACTGAAAGATTCCATGAACTACGCCAAATTAAAATAATTCGAAGTGGTCTGTATTCTGTCGAAACAGCCAGACGCGGATCGCGATTTCGATCTTTTTGGATCTCATCAGCGCGTCGCAAGCAACTCCGACAGAACACAGACTAACTTTTACCTGCTGTCTTAACAGTGCGTTTTAGAAAATACTACAAATGACGCAGTGACCGCCATCTGTAGCACGATGCTACATACGTAATCCTAAAATGTAGCATCGTGCTACAGATGGCGGCCACTGCGTCATTTGTAGTATTTTCTAATACGGCAAAATAGTTCGGAAAAAAATTTAAAAATTTTTATCCAACTACAGGCAGTAGATACATGTGTTAAATCAGTCCTTACTATTAGGTATGAGATCTAATGAGATTGGAATCACTATCCGAGCCTGGTCCTTCGATAAATTTATGACCACGAACTTAATAAACGTTCTTAGCAATAATTTTTAACCAATACATGTACCTAATACACCACAATATTCTTAGTTATAGTAGATTCAATGAATTTACATCTGTAGGTTTTCTAAACGCGTCCAGCAGATAGGGATTAGCAAGCATCTGTCTTACTGTCAGTTAGAGACTCTTATTATCTTTTACACATTGGTTTTATGAAAATTTTTGAATGACTTGCGTAAAATTCACTGCTTACCTTCAGTACCAAAACAATTGAACAACTTACAGTTTAAAACAAAGAATTTACCATACTCCCACATCGTCCCATACAGTTTTTCCATCAGTTCCAATTGAAAAATAGATTTTATATACAAGTGATGTAAATTGATCGAATACACAATACCCTATTGATTGAATTGTACTTATATTTTTGTTTAGCTTCGTGAAAATGACAACAGACCGCTGAATCAACTTGTAAGATATCTACCTCACGTTTACGCACCAAACGCAAGCCTTATCTTAAATGAAACGTTCACACTGGCATCCATTTTACCTCCTACTGAAGACTTGGAGAGATTCTACATGTACAGGGGATCTCTTACAACACCGCCGTGTTCAGAAGCCGTCACATGGATACTATTTCCAAATCCTATGCCTGTATCAGTTGTCCAAGTAATAAAAAATTTTCGTTCAACCCCTAGAGGAAATAGAGAGATCTGAAGTTAAGAAAAAAATTACTTTGGAATCTAGAAAGATGAAGATCTCCAAGCGATCAGCAAAGCAAAATTACGACCAAAACTGTCCCAGTCTTGGTACCGGTCCTGACCTTGCTTATTCAGTCTTGATTTTGGTCTTGCTTGTTCGACCTTGGTTTTAGTCTTGATCTTGTTCGTTCGGTCTTGGTCTTGGTCTTACTAGTATAAAAGCAGTTTTAATCTGCAAGACCAAAACCACTAAAATCTTCAAAATTTAAGACAATTATCTTGGAACTATTACTCCAGATCAATATCAAGATATTGCAAAATTCTTTGTTAATATTTTTTGATCTCTGATCTATTCAAAAATGTATATACAGGGTGTCCCATTTATAATAATTAAAAAAAAACACAAAATACAACAAAAAAGTGTTATACAATTTTTCAATCCAGTGACAATTGAGCTTGCAAATCGTCTTTCTAAATTTGAACGTACAATTTGTTTCATTACGGGCCTGGATCTAGGCGACTAACGTCGCTCAGCTGATCTAGGGTAGATGTAACAATTACCTATTGAGAAGACGCCGAATGCACTTCCACCTGTAAAAAAAAGGAAAAAGTGAAAAAGAAAAGCGTACCTTTTATAAAAAATGTTGAAATTGTCCGCCATTCGCTTCAATGCAACACTGACAGCGGCGTACCCTGTTGCTGCGAATTTTGGCCAAGATACCGGGAATATTTCGAATTATACGATAGGCATTAGTAATGTAACTCACCATCAACTAACGGTTGAATAAGAACACTACTAATTGTCCTAATTGTAATAGTCTTTTATGAAATGACCACCAAATAAATAAATTAACACTAACAAACAAGTAAATTCCACAACAATCCAAAACAAAATGAACAACCTGTTACAAACTACAACATTATGTGTATTTATTCCAGTTACTTCCAGCACTGTAATTATACGAAGTTTTATCAGTATTTAGCTTTTTACATTTAATGAAAACAAAATAACCAAAATTGGTCCTTCTGGACGCATCCTTGTATTACTCCACGTGGGGTTAATCAGCCCTGCCAGGCAAAACTAACCTTTAACACATGTAAATGGTCAAAGTAGGTCTGCCTCTTGTCTCAACTTTTACAATCATAACACATACATTTGTTTTCGTACGCTAGTACGTTATGGTACAAAACCTTTACCAAACACTGGGTGGTGAGGGTTGTTTGTGCACCGCTTCCAACTATTCCGTAGTCGTTAAACTTTCTTTTCTATTTAAAATAACACAATACTCGACGTCATGGGCTACATTTGGTCCACTTCAGTTTATGATCATGGGACTTTCGATTGTGATAGGTACGTAGTTTTTCTAACATGTTCAGTCATCTAATGGGCCTTAACGCGAGTGCATTTTCTTCGGCTGATCCGTAACTTAATACCAAACATAAACAATAACATCACCCCAAAAAGCAGCTGATTCCGACCTACTGAAGGTGAATTTTTCTACGATCAGCTGGCAATCGTAATTAATTTGCGATTGTGCAGGGCCGGCATC